AAAGCCCAGTGTGTGTTTGCCAATCAGGTTGCTCTCCAGTGTTGGCCTGAAAAGCATGATGGTGCGACTGCTGTGGTGATGGTGAATGACATTGACGCTGTGGTGAACAAATGGGCCAAGTCCCTGCAGCTACGTGATGTCGCTACTTGTTAAAAGTTAGTGGTTATATATTTACTATGATGCCTTTGTTTTACTTCCAGCACTTCATTTACTACATCTAAGTGCCTGATGGCTTCCTTCAAGGCTTTGCTCTTTATCGCCAACTTTGCTGCGCCGAGCATTGTGAAGTCCAGTGTCCAAACATGTGTGCTGAAGTTGATGGGCCACATGGTGACAGTTGCTGGTGAGAAGGGGTGTGGGGTATTCATGTGCCCTGCTTTCTCTTACAAGTCTGGGGGGGCTGTTCCAAGAAGAATTTGCCCTACTCAGATCTCTTAGCAGTGCGGGGTGCAATGTGGACAATATGTTCCAAGTGATGTTTGATGCAAAAAGCAAATCAGATTCTTAGCTGAACCTATTTGTTCCAAGTTTTACAGGTACAGTAGTGTGTTCATGGTTTCTTGGTTCCCTCAGCCTGCTTTCTCCACTGAGTATGTGAGTCATGCTTGTCAACCTCCTCAGGACAACCGGGACTCTCGACCAATGGCTTATGCTGGCCGGCTTGTGTCCCCACTCACCTCTCAAGTGAAGGAGGCTGAGTGGTTTTGGCGAGAGTCCAGCCTGTTCCGTTTGCGGAGAACCATGGGTGAACCAAAGCAGATACATTCTCGGGATATGGTGACCATGGAATCAGTGGATGAGACAGCACTACCTGGCCAACCAGTTACCAACACTCACGGTGCCCAAAAGTATGCTCAGCTTGGTGGTGACTGCTGTTCCCAAATCATCAGTTCAGCTATGGAGTCTTGTTTGGTCAGTTCATTAAACCATTTATCAAACAAATCTTTTTGATTGGGGTGATGTTGTTTGGAATGTGTTTTGATTGGGTTTGCAAATATTATGTGGAACATTTACAGGATGCTATATATTATATATATAACATCATTTTGCTTGGTTTACAATGCAGTTCTTCCTTAAGCCCTCTTTTCCTGCAATTGCTCCGACCTGGGATTTCCTGCCTAAGGAGGGTGTCAAATTTGGGACTGCCGCAGGCCTGGTGGTGGTTGATGCAGTGCCCAATGTGGGAAGCTTCTTTGATGGCTTTGTGGAGGTCTCCCAGGGAAAGAACACCCCCATGCTTTACTGTCCAGTGTTCAACGGGGATGATCACTGTGAATGGTTCAATGCCTATTGGACTGATGAGCTCATCGAACGATTCCTGAAAGGGAATTTGGCTGTGTCGAACCTGGACAGGCCAAAAGGGTTGACCAAATTGACTTGGGCCCCAACTACCAACAAAGAAGTGTTTTTTAAAGTTTTTGCCTTGGGGATTTCTGGGGTGCTTTTTGTTTAGGCCAGAACCCAACCTGCAGGTTGACTGAAGATCCACCGGCTGATCACCTAGAAGCCAAGCCAGAGCCACCACCTCTCAAGCGCTGTGTGTATGGGAAGGTGTGGATGTAGCCAAATTTGTGATGTTACCTTTGTTATGATAGATCTATTTTCTTGAAATGATTTTGGGTTCAACATGTGTCAGGTGGATGGTGAAATTTGCACCATTGAACTTCCAAATGGGTTGGTGAAGCAGTGGGAGAACAAGCCTGAGTTTCAAGCGTTCTATGAAGAGTTTCTTGTGAAGTACCCACTGGCAGCTACATTCCAATCAAAGGGCAAGGTGGAAACCTCAGCAGGTACTGTGGTGGTGACCCCTGTCAAGCGACCGGCGCCGTTCGACCTATCATCGTGCCTCAATGATGTGGGGAGCTTGCCTGATGATGATGTGATTAAGTGTGAGGTACCTGTTGTGAATGGCAGGGCAGGTGTGAAGCTGACCACAATGCCTACTCTTGTTGTTGCGGAGAAGACCGGGCCATACTTGAAAAATGAAACTGGGCATGAAGTACCTGGGTTGGACACATGTTCAGGTACTCGTTTTACTTGTTTTCAAAGGTCCACGTACTGTATTATGTATGATTTGACCCCTCACCAAACCTGAGAAAACCATTGAACCTTTAGCTGCAGGTCACCTTCGCTGCAGGGACTGTGCTTTGTGGATGGGGGAAGGCAAAGTTTAGAGAGTTGACCGCTGAAAAGCCTATCAATGATGACCAGGAGATTTTGTTTGAAGCTCAGGGTGACACGGTTGGCTTGTTGGATGGCAAGCATGGTACCGTGGAAGGCTTTCTGACCAATGCCAAGTCCACGAAGCCCAACAACGTGAAACTATGTTACCATAAGGTTTCCAAGACTCCCGATGACAAGTGGAAGGTGGAGAAGGACATGGTTGTTTTTTGTGTTCATGTTTGAGGTTGTGGGTTGTGTGTCTTTATCTTGTAGTGTGTTTCCAAGCGCATGGGGAAAACACTATGGATGTATTTATCCTGGAGGAACATGATGTCATTTACTCCATCCTGGATGAAGATGAGGGCGTCAAATGGACCCAATCAAATTGCGCAAAGCTCCTTTTCCCTCCCATTTGCTGGAAATCAAAGTGCACCCAAGTTGGTTGGCAGTTCAATTGGAGCCTGAAAGGCATCCAACCCGTGCGTGCCGTTGTCATGGTTACCGCGGATGTGACAGTGCCAAGTGGCAAGATTTTCTGCTTCATTTGAGCAGTGCTGGGCTTTGGAGTGCCTGTAGGAACTTGTTACTATGTCAAAATGTTCTTTTCTTTACTGGCAAATATTCCATTCCTTACAATTTGGATTGTTGAAACTGGGTCAACCTACTAGCTGACATGTTTGCTGTGGACAGCACTGTGAAGTTGTGGAGCGATGACAGTTCGAGGTGGCCACCTGGGAGTTGGCCCACAAGTCTTATGGATCGAATCGAATCGCAGGAACAAAGGCTCTATCCAGCAATCGGCTTACATAAAAACACAAATATATATATATATTATATTATATATAATTGAATCCAATACATGGCCTTATGGCATGGTGATTCAAGGCCTTCCAGAAGGCCTCCGACGCAAATCCCACCTCTTGACTCATCCCTTCTTGACCCACCCATTGCGCTTGTTCGGGCGCCAAGGCTCTGAAGATCGAGGTAGGACCAGCTCAGCCTGGGGTGGTGTGCTGGGACCAGGATTGGGTCTGGGGCTGGTGAGAGGTGGACAACTGTCCTCAGGTGAACTGATAAATATGCTACATAATAGTCATATGTAGAATATTGTGTAGATGGGTGATTGGAGCTATAAATAAGTTCCACAAACCACAACCACAGAACCACTCCCTACCAATTTGTTCCCTTCTGAGAGGGAGCTAATAGGGTGTTGTCCCTAGATGGAATCCCTGGGTGTAGTCTAGAGTGCGTTGCATTGCATTGTTGTTGCCTACGTCACTGAAGAGCTCCTGGCACTCATGTACTGAATGGATGTGGAACCATCTTGCCAGTGGCCTACCCAAAAAGAGGTGGCAGAAGATGGCCAATCTTGAAGGCAAGAGCGGGTGGCATGCGCTCCAAGCTTTGGGCTTGGGAACTCGTTTGCCTGATCGCGTTGCAAAGCTTTTGACAGCTGCGGCTAAAAGCTACTTGCAAAAAGCAACCATCATTGGCTGGGCGGCTACTTGAACAGCCGGGCGATTCTATGGCAAGTGACTGCGCCAAAAGGGCAAACGCCAAGGAATGCATGCGTTCGAGAATACGCGCAATGTATTGTGGCATGTATCTGTGAACCTGTGCGAACCAACGCTGGTGTTGAATGGGCGACGCTGTGAGGCACCTTGTGAGCCATCTACTACAGGACGTTGAAGATGCCCTCTCTGCACAGGACCGGTACATCGAAGCGCTTAAGGCGTCAGTTGTGCTGAAGTGGCACAAAACGTTGCGCGTGTTGACCGAGCAGTTGGCGCCCACGTGGTGAAGCATGCACATCCTTGTGCAGTCAACAAAAAAAAGAGGATGCTCTACCATTGGGAGACGAGGATCCATATTTATTATGTTGACGCATTTGGTCGCCAGCCTGGTGAAGATTGAGGCGGAAGATGGACGACGCTTCTGGATGGCGTACTGCCTCTGAGTGGAAGAGCTGTTCCTACCATTGAAGGAAGGTGAAGGAGCATGTATCAGAACACAAGTGAGAGAGAGAGAGAGGAACCAGAACACCGTCCAGAACATTTCCCAGCCTTTAAGATAGATGATGTATCAGAACACATACCAGACTTGAAGCTTGGCATCAGAACACAGTCCAGAACAATTTTCCAGGTGTTGCTCTGAGGTCTACTTCTATGGCTTTGTCTGTGTGGTGCTCTGTTTGCTACTTCTGTGGCTTTGTTCTGTGGTCTGCTTCTGTGCCTTTGTTCT